AAAAAAAAAAAAAAAAAAAAAAAAAAAAAAAAAAAAAAAAAAAAAAAAAAAAAAAAAAAAAAAAAAAAAAAAAAAAAACAACCATGTTAGACAAAGAAGGAAAAAAAGAAAGAAAGAACGAAAGAAACAAAGAAAGAAAGAGATAGACAGACAGACATACATACAGACAGACAGACAGACAGACAGACAGATAGACAGACAGATTAGGAGACAGACAGACAGACGGACAGACACACACACACACACACACACACACACACACACAGACGTGTTGGACCATCAGACAACCTTTGATTCTGGTTAATCCACTTACAGACCAGACCGACAGACAGACAGACAGTCACACAAACAGACGGACAGACATACAGACAAACAGACAGACAGACAAACAGACGGAGAGACATACAGACAAACAGACTGACTGACTGAATGACCAGACAAGGCGACAGACAGACAAACTTACAAACAGATAGACGGGCTGACAGACAGTCAGACATACAAACCAGAGCAGACCGACAGACAGATGGACAGATAGACAGAAAAACACAACAGACGGAGCAGACAGACCACATAACTGCTTTGTGTTGTCCATGCATATCTTTGACCTATGCAGGATTTCTTCTTGCGGTAGAGATTCGTCAATGCAACATAGATGATGTTCAACCATTCAACATGATTATTGTTCTTTCTTGTTTGAATAAGAGGGGAGGAAGCAGGATTTAGAATCACCTTTCTCTCTCTCTCTTCCCTCATGTTTAAACATTTCTTTTTGCAATTGGACGCCATTGAACTTTCTGCGGATTGAACACTCCGAAATTGGTCAGGACCGCAACACAGAACAGACAGACAGACAGAGGGTGGGAAAGAGAGAAGCGCGTGTACACGTGGAAGAGGGAGAAAAGGGGTTGATGCTAACAAACCAAGCATATAAATTACAGGTCACTGGATGAAAGAATGTAGAGCCAGAAAAAGGAAACAACAAACACACTTAGTGTACACTCACATACGGATACTGTGATGGTTTGCGCATATGTTCACAACAACAGAACAGACAGACAATGGGACCTCCAGCAAGCCCGTGGCAAGAAAAGCAACGACAACAACCCCTAATTCAACGAGTGGCCTACTTGTACCCAACTTCCGTAGACGTACAACGCACCACGCACCTACAAACCTACACAACCGTCCAAACGGCAAACATCTACGAGCGCATTTTGGTAAAGATCCAAAGTACATGCATTCACATGGAAACCTACAGTAAGTGGACTGAAGGCTAGGACACACATTAGATAGACCTCCGGGTGCCTATGAGTCTTCAGAAGGGCGGAAACGAAAAAAAAGTACAAGGCTGAAAGACTTGGGACTACGAAAGTAGAGACAACTGGAAACAGGTTCCGCCGTTGGAGCCCACCGAAAGGCCGATCATTCGGAAAGAAAGAAAGAAAGAAAGACTTGAAGAATGAAAGAAGAAGAAAATGAAAATGAAAAAAAAAAAAAAACAAAGTAAGAAAGAAAGAAAGGAGAACAAGAAAAAAACAAAAATATATGGGGTTCACTACTGCGGGTCAAAATCAGCGACAGAGTCGTCCTTCAATACCTTCATGCCCCCCACTAGTGAACCTGATCCCTCTCTCTCTCTCTCCCTCTCCCTTTCTCT